AATCAATTCAGGAATACTCCATAGATTTTGAGAGGCTGTGAGCAGTCTTGATTACTTACCACCAATGTCAAGCTATAGCCATCCAGAGTGCAAGAAAAGAGATATCTTGAGCTTTGATCAAAGAAGATCTGTCTTCCTAGCTCAGTTGACTATTCCTACACTAGATGATGCCACTATTGCGATGGTATAAGAGGAGATTCACATGAAACTACACTATGAGTCTAGTGGTTTTTCGGGCCCAGGATAAGCATTAGCTACCGCGAGCCCAGGTACGTTAGGTGTCCAGGGGAGACTTACAAGTGCTACAACTGTGGTGAAGTTGTCCATCTAAGCAGGGTCTATCTTAAGCCATCTAAGGAGAGAGAGACAAGTGGACGTGGATAAAGTGGAGGTCATGGTCGTGGTCATAATCGCCATCGCGGTTGTGGGGGTCGGAAATGTGAAAGAGGGAATACCGGGTAAATCTGATGGTAGCAGAGGACGAGGGAGAGACATGTATGATCTTTACTAGTGAGGATCATGAGTGCCTGGAGCTACTGAAGAGGAAGCATAAAACAGTAAGAGATGGAGCTGGGGATGTTTCAAATTCATCGTCATCAAGGGGTAACATTGTCATTTTGCTTACTTCGGTAAAGGTACTGATGACACACTTGCTCTTACCTCTATTTTCTCTACAGGATCATCAAAATGGATCATAGCTTCTGGTGCATCTCGTCATGTAACAGGTACTGCTGGAGAGTTCTTTTTATATATTCATCTAGCAGCACCAAAGAGTATATAGACTATTGATAGTACAACACAACCTGTAGTTGCTAAGAGTATAGTGAGACGTACCAATCAAATGACTTTATTTAATGTTTTGCATGCTTCTTCTTTTTCAGTAAATCTCTTATTCATTAGTGTCATCATTCTCCAGTTAAAATGCATTGTTTTTTTTTGTATTCCCCGGGTAATCTTCCAAGAAAAATGATGGGTTGGACAATTGAGACTAGAACATGGCATAGTGGATTCTGGTACTTAGACTGAAATGGGATGAACTCAGCTCTGACATCCATGGTGGAAAGTGCTGCAGTAGGAGAATCTAGGAGGAATATCGAGTATGTGTCACTGCCACATTAGAGACGTATGAGACATTCTAGTCTTAGTTTACTAAGCTATTGTATCCATCTTTGTATGAAAAGATAAATAAGAAGAAACTGTTGGTGATGCTTGTGAGTTTGACATGCTCACTGGGAGCTAATATATTAGTTTGGGAATAAGAGCTTTGGTGTGCTTGATTTGATACATTATGATGTATGTGAACCTTATCCTACTAGTTCTATGAATGATTATTATTATTTTGTTACGTTTATTGATAAATTTTCTCGTGTTATCTAGATATACTTAATGAAACAAAAGAGTGAGGTGGTTGCTTGCTTTAAATATTTTTACAAGGTAATCTAGACCCAATATGGGGTAATTGTGAAGGCGTTGAAATCTAATAATGGGACATAATATATCAACAAAGCATTTGTGGACTATCTGTTAACTCAAGGGATACAACACCAAAGAATATGCCTATACACACCAACACAGAATGAAGTAGCATAGAGGAAGAATCGACATTCTAAAGATAGCCTGGAGCATGCTGATGGGAATGAATGTCCCACAGTACTTATGTGGGCAAGCAGCGTTGAAAGCTACTCAATTGATTAATAAGCTGTCCTTAAGAGTGCTGGAGTGGAAGTCTCCTTATCAGATGTTGAAAGGAGATAATAGTTAGATCTTTCCATTGAAGGTATTTGGATGTGTATGCTTTGTGAAAAACAACAAACCATCTGTTGGGAAGTTGGTTCGCAGAGCTGTGAAATGTTTGTTCGTGGGTAATTCTGCTACTTAGAAGGGTTATGTCTGTTGAAGCCCGATTGAGGAGAGACTCTATGAGTATGGATGTGTTATTCAAAGAGTTTGAATCATACTATACTCTGGAGGTGAATTCACCTTCGGTGACTTAACAACCATCAGAGATATGAGGCAAGAGAGAGTGAGTAGTACTGGTGATGGAGTGGTGTAAGTGGAAGAAAAGCCATGTCTTGTGATGTTTGATGAATCAAATAAGGAGACAAAAACCGAGAAGATTGACCCCAGAGGTGGTGGGATTCAGGCTAAAGTAAGCTAAGGGTGTATACATAGAGGAATAAGCAAACTTAGGGAATAGAGTCTACAGGGCCAACAAATCCCAAGCCCCAGCCTTCGCCAACTCTTGAGACACTTGCACCATTTACCTTTGATTCAAAACTCTCAGGGGATATTATTTCTCATCCGTGCACTCCTACCCCTTCAACGTTAAGGAGGACCTTCCACAGCAATTAGAGACATCCTCCTGATCGTTTTGGGCGGGAACTTAGCATTGCGAACTTTGTTTCCTATCTGACATCTCACATTTGCATGGAGCATTCATTGCATCATTGGACTCTGTCTTTGTACCCAAGTGCTGGAAGGTTGCTAAAGAGGATCACAAGTAGAAAGCAGTGATGCATGAAGAGCTTGGAGCTCTTTATAAAAGCTTAACATGGGAGATTGTAACACTGCCAGCAGGGAAGAAGGAAGTTGAATGCAAGTGGATCTTCACGGTAAAGCAAACTTCAGAAGGGAAGGTGGAGAGGTACAAAACACAACTAGTAATAAAAGAATACTATTAGACGTATGACATTGATTATGATGAAACTCTTGCATCAGTAGCAAATATAAACAAGGTGAGGACATTGACTTCTCTGATAGTGAATGATGGATAGAGACTCCACCAACTGGATGTGAAGAATTTCTTTCTTCATGGAGAGCTATTGAAGGAAGTATATATGGAGATATCACCAGGATTTAGTACATCCCATAAGGTGGGCAAGGTGTGTAGACTCAAGAAGTCACTGTATGACTTGAAATAGTCACCTCGAGTCTGATTTGACAAGTTTAGAATGACGAAGATTGACTTGGAATATCAGGAGATCAATGCAGACCACACGGTATTCTTTCGACAATATGTATGTCACACTACCATATTTGTGTGTATGTGGATGACATAATTATCACTAGTGATGATGAGTCAGAGATAGCTCAACTGAAGGGAAGATTGGGGATGCATTGAGGTAAAGTATCTTGGACAACTCAGATACTTTCTTGAGATTGAAGTGACCCATTGACCTGAGGGGATAATCCTATCCCAGAGAAAGTATGTGCTGAATCTTCTCACGGAGACAAGTATGTGGGGGTGCAACCCTATAGTCTCTCTAAATTGATCAGAAGGTCAAACTCAATACAGTGGCAGATGAATCAGTTGATCTTGAGAGGTACCAGAGGCTTGTGGGCCTCCGGATCTATCTGTGCCACACTCGACCCAATATTTCTTTTGCAGTAAATGTGGTGAGCCGCTACATGCATGTAAGGAAGGGTCATATGGATGCAGTGTATTAACTTTTTTAGGTATATAAAGAGTGCACCAATGATTGATATCCATGAAGAATGGATGTATAGATATTGAAGGCTTTTCTGATTCTGATTGGGCAAGTTGTGTTGATGACAGTCGATCCACATCAGGATACTGCATGTTTGTAGGTGGCAACTTCGTCTCGTGGAAGAGCAAGAAACAGTCAGTTATAACAAGATCAACAACATACGCAGAATACAGGCTTATGGCATTAGGAGTTGCTGAGATGATATGGTTGAAAGCCTTATTGGTTGAAATTAAAGTGACCAAGGAACTCAAATGAAGTTGTGGTTTGACAACAAGTCGGCATTCAACATTGCTAACAACTCGGTACAACACAATAGAACTAAACATGTAGAGATTGATAGATTCTTCATCAAAGAGAAGTTGAATAATTGATTGTTGAAACTAAGTCATATAGTTTTTGGAGGGCAGGTGGCTGGTTGCCTCACTTGAGGACTTAGCTCAATGGAGTTAGTTAGATTATATGACAAGATAGGCTTAGTGAATATCTTTCGCTCATCTTGAGGGGGAGTATTGAGAGTTATGTATAATAAAAGGGTTTTATTGGGTTTATTTGTTAAAGATTGTAAACCCCATTTAAACATATCTGTTGAATGTTAGTAAGTTTTGGTTTATTTTCTTTCAATTTTTTTGTGTTGGATAGAGTGCAATTCACTTAAGAGAACAGATGTATCATTGGAGGACCAAGTATATTGATGTTTGGTACCTGCTTCATCAAAATGAAAGATAAAGATGAGGTTTCAGTTCTATCTGTATAGAGCAATTTAATTAACAGTTTATTGAAGTAATCCCTGCTCTCAAGTTTTAGATAATGCTTCTAGTTGATTGATTTGTGCATCTGTTGATGCCCACTGTGGCTTTGGATGAGGAGAAGCCTCTAGTGATTTGAATAAATTTGGTTGCCTGCTTTGTTCACTGATAAAGTTAGAATTTAATAAAATGTAGAATGAATGAGTTATGCCAAATTAATGTAAAATTATTTTGGAACTACCAATCAACCCTAATTTCTATTACCATGCATGTAGGCTAGACTCCTTATGTGATATGCGTTGGCAATGACGCAAGGATAGCGCTCAAGTGATTTGATTCAACTCTTCTTTTAGTCAAATTATCTTGAAGAGCTTCGAGGGTTCTTCTTAAATTACTGAGCAAACATAGAGAAAGAAACTCATGAGCAGTTGACAAGATCCTTTTGCATTGTTCTAAAAAATATGGTGTGAAGAAATTCAACTTCTTTCTTTGGCTTTCTCTTTGAGAAAGATTGCTTAATGCTTTGGGGAGATCTTCGCCAAATCTTTGTATTAGTTTTCTTTTGGAAAGGAATTGGTATGTATAATGATTAAGTTGATATATATGCCGATTGAAGCATGTTACAATTTAAAAGAAAAAATGAATATTATTTTATCCATACAAAGGAGGTAAGTGTGATTCTGCTATATAAAGGTATTGTCTATTTAAAAAAGAGGTGTCACTATTTTAATTTTAATTTTTTTTTTAATGACGAATATGTTTCCAGGAATGGCTTATCCAACGACAACAAAATGATTTCCTTCGCAGAAATGATGACCGATGATGACCAAGTATCCAGAGAAGAGAGAGCCTTCAGACTATGGATTAATAGTCTTGGTATTGCTACCTATGTGAATAACTTGTTTGAAAATGTCAGAAATGGGTAAGGTTCTTTGAAATGATTCTATGGCTTATTTTATGTGATTTTGTTAAATTCTATCAACACTTGTCCAGATGGGTTCTTTTGGAAGTACTTGACAAGTTGTTTCCAGGAAGAGTTAATTGGAAGCAGGCAAATAAGCCTCCAATTAAGATGCCATTTCGGAAGGTTGAAAATTGCAATCAGGTTGTAAAGATTGGCAAAGATTTAAAATTCTCAATGGTTAATGTTGCTGGTAGTGACATTGTGCAAGGAAATAAGAAGCTTATTCTTGGTAAGTTTCACAGGATGAACATTAAGTTCGATTATGGTCTTTATTAATATTGTGTTTAATTTACGGTTAGGTAAATTTTATGTAAGAGTCAATGTTATTAGCCAAATCAAAGTAAAGTTATCAGTGATTTCATTTGAACTCATCCTTTACTTAAGCCGCTAGTAGCTCTCTATGTATTTTCAATACAAGCTAGCTAAAATTAATCATTTTAAAACAAGCATTTAATAAGTTTTGCTATATAATTTTACATTTATGAAGTGTTTTCATATAGTATTGCGCATCAACGCAAACCTATAAATGGTGGGTTTAGATAGCGAGTTTGCCATGGTCAAATCTTTTACATTAATCTTGTACTTACTGATAATTTAGTGACATCCTAGAATTTCCCAATTGAAGTTCTATTTCTCTACTATTTTTTTTTGTCTTATGCCCATTCATATTATTAAAACAAATGCATCATCCTGAATAAATTTGGATTCAACAATTAATTATGCTGAAAAATGATTATTGCTTTAAAGAATAACATTTATTATACCTGAATTTGCACACTTCTGTTAATTGAAAAGGCTGATCTGTGCCATATGGCTTTTTCATATTTCTTGTAGATAACTCATTTCGTTAACTGCATTGAAACATTAACAGAAAAAGAAAATATGTATTTCTGAGGAGTAATTAACAGTAAACTGATTTGAAAGCCTCTCTTTGTACTTTGTTTTCAGCTTTTCTGTGGCAATTGATGAGATCCAATATCCTGCAATTGTTAAAGAACTTGCGGTTTCACTCTCAGGGAAAGGAGATCACAGATGCTGATATCCTTAATTGGGCCAATATTAAAGTAAAGCAATCTCGAAGAACTTCTCGAATAGAGAGTTTCAAGGTATTTTCATTCTTATTCGAAGCAAGTGGTGCCTAGATACTGTTTTCCCTGATTATTTTCCTTTCATTTACAGGACAAGAGCCTATCAAATGGGATATTTTTCCTTGAACTTCTCAGTTCTGTGGAATCTAGGGTTGTGAACTGGAGCCTTGTCACAAAGGGTGAAAATGGTGCGATCAAAATTCTTTCTTTTTTATATAAAATAATAATAAAAGAATGCTAATGAATTGAAAGAACACTTTTAAGGAGATTGAAAACACTTTTTTTTACCTACATAAATGTTTCAATTTTGTGTGCAGACGAGGATAAGAAGTTGAACGCAACGTATATAATCAGTGTTGCTAGAAAACTTGGGTGTTCTATCTTCTTATTGCCTGAGGACATCTTGGAGGTAAGAGACCACTATTTATTCTGTCATAATAATCCTATTATGATTTCAGCTCTGCTATTTTAATCTTGTTAGTTCTGCATGTTTATAATAGTATTCAAAATTCAAATAATACCTACGTAATATAAAACTGTGACAGATTATGATGCATACTTGTATTAGGTTATTTCTCTCATATTAATCTCAATAATCTAAATAGCTGAAGAGTTTTTTTTTCTTTTCTGACTCATTTTCTTACAGTTTCTAAAATATTTTTTACATCTTAATTGTCGTGGCAGGTTAACCAGAAGATGATCCTAACTCTTACAGCCAGCATCATGTATTGGAGCTTGCAGCAAGGACCAGAAAGCTCTGAACTCTCTGAATCAGAAGCCTCTGCAGAGGATTTTTCTTCTCAGTTGGCTCCTCTAGATGGAGAAGGAAGTGTTGTTGCCGAGGGTGTTTCTAATCTGGCCATTAATGATACAGCTTCAGATACAGCACAAGCAGAAAAAGATAGTAATGGTACTGAGGGAACATAAACGTATTAAGCATCATAAGGTTTTCTTCATCTATAGAGAGATTTCATTTCCTTGGTTTTGGTGAATATATCAAAATGAAATTTTTTGTCTTTTTTCCTTCATTTTGTGATGAAAATTGTTTCTTTGGATGTGGGCCAGAGGTCTTGTTATAGTTGTATAGGTATTCTTTCAGCAAGCAAATTCGTTTGAAATAAGTAACAGCAAAAGAAAAATTTTGCGTTTTTCAGTTGTTGTTTGGTGAAAAAGGAATTGCTTTGCATTGAGCAATTACTTTGTTATTTCAAAGAAACATACAAAACTATTGAATTTACATGTGATCATACTTGAGGTTTTATATGACCTTCAAACTTCACAATAGTTTCCAATGAATGGTTTCTTTTACCATGATATTTGTAGCAAGGATGAAATTCCTGTCTCAATTATAGCTCATTTCAACGGTATCGGAGACGATGCTAATTTTTTATTCTACGGGCATTAGCATCCAGCGTCAATATCTTCTAACAAGTTGTATCGTCTTTTTTGAACTCATTGGCATCACTAATATTGATATTTAGCATCAGTAATATGATAAAAGTTAAAGTCTACTCCATCAAATGAGGACAGTCATTGTATTTTTGAAGAAAGTATCAGAGCTTCACCATTAGAACTACAAGTTTTGATTGCCTCCAAATCTAGTCCATGTGATGGAGAAATATTTGCGTACGTCTTATAGTTGCGTACATATTAGGTTATTCGAAGAGTACAGGTCGGTTACATTTAAGTTATACCCATTGTAATTCTTCCTGTAACTTAAGTGTAAACCACATATATCCTCCGAATAACATAATATGTACACAAGTCTGCGTACGTCTTACGTAAGACGAACGCAAATATTTCTCCATCTGATGAGGGCAGTCACATCCTTACGAAAAAATCAGAGCATTACTATAAGAATTACAGGTCTTAAATTACTTTCAAATTCAGGTTATTTAAAAATAAAAAGAATGCAAAACGATCATATCATTTGACAAATAAAATTTCTTCAATTTATCAAGTAGTCATAAATTAATTCATAATTTTCAATTTTCCCTTTTATCAAAATAAATAAAATAAAATAATATTTGATTATATTTGTTAAGAGTAATTAAGTTCATAATTTCCTTTCTTTGAGAAAATAATAATAACAATTATTTATAGATATACCTACATATGATAAATCTTTGTAATTCTATTAGAATACACATAATATAATGAATAAATAAGTTTAGTTGTTTAATCATTTATGTCTTATTTTCTAAATGGTGTAGGATTGCTAGTTGAATCGTCGAACTTGTAGAAGTATCACATTTATTACATTGAGGTAAGTAATTACTTTTTATTAAAGGATAAACTTACTTTTCCTAGTTAGGGGGTTAATCCTAGTCAATTGTAGTAGATTCATAGTTATTCTATTAGATTGTCAGTCATCCTCTTGTTATAGACTTTAATTATTGTTAATGATGAGATCTCTATTCGTATTAATTTATTGCTGCGAAGTTTGTTGTATATTTGAATTAATCCTACAATTATGATCCTTTTTTATTTCTTGAATTGTATGAAATTGAATATATTATGTCATAAAACTGTATAAAATTACATATTTCTTACATAGTGTACTTGTAAAAACAGTCTGAAATGTCTGTGTATAATGATATGAAGATCGGTGGAATCCTTTTGGATTTTGGCTTAACCAGAATGACAAGTCCGTAAAGTGATGTCTCTACAAAAAATTGTTAGGTTTCTTTGGGTTGATATTGATTTTCTCGATGTTAAGGTATCTGTTAAAACCAACTATATAAATGATAAATGAAAAATTGAATAATAACTTGATGGAAAATGATTGTTTGTTTTTGTATAATATGCATATTTGACGTTTACCCATCTCTTATTGTCTTACAGTCTCACATATGCACACATCGATTGCCCTTATTTATTTTCCATATTGCATGCCCCAATTTTCCTTGTCGTTTATGCTTTCATAGATATCTCTCTATTTGATAAAGCTCAAACAAGGTGTATGGATATGACATCATAGCATTGAGCTATTCAGTTAGGGTTGAACGTTGACACATGACACTTGGATTTGGCGCTTGGGCAACTAAAGATGTCTAGGAGTCGACCAGAATCCTTGGTACCTTTATGTTCTCCATAACACCAAATCCTTTCTTAAATAACTAAATTCATTGAACAAGTATTTTTGATATATATTTTTTTCTAATATCTTTTCATTTATTTATGCATTTGCATGATTTGTATTTGAATAATTATTCCCATCTAACGCAGGCTAAAAATGAATTACATCACACTATTTTCATGCAACCTATCTAAATTTAAGATTTTGTCAATCTATTTAGATAGTTTATCAACCTAGCAAGTGAACCACAAATGAGATCAAGTAACATGATCTAGCTTTTATTATGAAATTTAACACCAATGATAAGCTAAATAATGATTACTTTATACATTAAAAACATTTGGAAATTTATTAAAATATTTTGTAAGCTTCATAGACTTAAAAAAAAAACAATATTTCCAACTCAATCGATGTTATTGCTGAAATATATATCATTACCCGCTGCATTTGCAATTTAAGAAAGTAGATGTAAACCAATGGACATGTTACTACTTTGGTTCTTTGTTAGGAAAACAAAAAAAGCTTATAAGCCGGCCACAATGTAAGAGTTTTCCGCCATCTACTTTGTAAGATGGAGTTTTCACTAATTTACCAACAAATAAGAGTAACAGAAATGAGAATGGATTTGTGGGTGTTTCGGGGCGGCGAAGATGCTGATCTTCGTGTAAACCCTCACAAGGAAGAGGTCAAGAGCAGCGACACAATCGACAATGTGAAGACGAAGATTCAGGACAAGGAAGGAAATTCCAGCGGATCAGCGGCGCTTGATTTTTGTCGGCAAGCAGCTTGAAGATGGACGAACTCTGGCTGATTATAACATACAGAAAGAGTTCGACACAATCGATAATGTGAAGACGAAGATCCAGGACAAGGAAGGAAATTCCAGCGGATCAGCAGCGCTTGATTTTTGTTGGGAAGTAGCTTGAAGATGGAAGAATTCTGGCTGATTATAACATACAGAGAGTCAAATCTAGACAGCTGAGGCCCAAGAAGAAGATCAAGTAAACAATGTTTCAATTCTAAAATTATGACTCATTTGCAACTTTCAACTGGATGTTTTTCTTTGGAGCACTATCATCTATGATAGTTGTTTACTATTCCAACTCTGATATAAATGAAAAAAAACAAAAAAAAAAGAAATGAAAATGGATCATAATAATGAATGCATTCTAAAATGTACTTTAACCAATAATGCAAGTTGATGTTCACAAGAGATAAATTTATAACGAGGCTATGAAATAATTATGACTAAAAATAATTCAGCTAAAGAAAATAACACTGAATCGCCAAGATCATAGATGGAGATAAGGCAAGGGGTTTTGATGCCCTCTTGAACTTGAACTCTCGCATATTGGTAAACCTGTTTTGCTTTCTTCTTTGTGCTCTAAATCAAATCTCTTCATGCCCCTACTTGCAACTTTCTAAGCACTTCCACTAGTTCTTACCTTGCTTTTCTCTTTGAATATCTTTTCTGTAAAAACTTTGTTTGAAACATTTTTTTCTCTTCCATTACTAACTGAACATAACTCAATCTCATTTTATTTGATTTCAGTATTGGCATTGTTTGATTTTTCATCAAATTTCCTTTGTGTTGAATTCGAATCGGAGTATGGTGAGCCTTCCTTGGCATTCTCGAGCAAAATTTGAAGCCATTTTTCAACATTTTGTTTTCCAACTAGGATTCTATATTCATTAGTTTCTTCTGGTTGTTTATGAGAATTTGGTTGAAGATTCCATTGCCTTTGTGATTCATTAGTCTTAATTCCATCAAGTCCACTCTTTTGAACTTGCTTTTTCTCGTTGCCAACCCTTTTTTGTTCAACATTGGGCATAATAACATTGAGCTTGATATGATGGGTTTCCCTTAGCTTGTTGTTAACCGTCCAATCATGATCCTTACAAAACAAAAGTTTATTATTTCCTTCAACATTATATGATGAACTATAGTGATCCGAACATTGTTTATTTTTGCCTCTTTTGTAAGATTCATCGCTTATTCCAAATCCTTCAAGCTTATTAGTTTGAGGAATGGCATCTTTGATTTTGTGTACCTTATTTGATTGGCAATGGTCGTTTTTTTCATTGATAATACTCGCAGTTACTTCAAATTCTTCTTTTGAATTTTCTTTTCAATTGAAAGACAAAGAAATGACTCCCTCAAAAGCCTTTTGTTCCTCCTCGAGGAATTTTCTCAGCTCCTTTATTGGATTTATTACTCTCCTCGTCGATGATAAATGATGGCTATTTCCATGGCAATCGTTATATATTTCCGATCTTTTCAAGGCTTGTTCAGAGCAAGCCAAGGCACATAACTCTAATTCTTCTCTTTCTTTGTATATTTCATAGAGCTTACTCTCAAAAAAATCAAAGTTGGCTCTCTGGGGCCTCTAAGCTAGCCAATAAGGCTTGCGATGCTGCTTGATTTAGTGTAATGTTCTCCTTGTAAACAATAACCCTAAAATCATAAAAATTTAATGATTAATACCAAAATTCTTAGATGACTTACATAATATATGAGTTTTTTTGTTGATGTCTGCTATATAGTACTGATATGTTTTTAGCAAAAATTAAAATAAAATGATTTATTGATTTTTTTTAAGATAAATTATGAATTTAAATACTATTTTGATCATATTATTGCCCGCAAAAACATGCATGTAAAAAAAATTCATATAATCATAATTGATCTTCCTAGGTTACTCTTTATCTTACTTAAAATAAGACATCTTCGAACCAAACAAACTATAATTTATTGACAATATTGTTATAAAAAATAAAATGTTTTCTATATATAATTGAACTAAATAACCCATAGTGTTATTGAGAATCATTATCGATGATCATAAAAATATGTCAACATATGTTTAGTTTAACTTACTGATGCGTGACATCTCTGATCATCTTTTCCAAGAGGGATCGGTAGGAGGTCTGAGTTTCCGATAGATGTCGAAACTTCTCCACTCTTCTTCTCATAGTTCTTAACTCTACTTCCAACTCCAGAAGTATTGTTTGCTCGATGTCATTTTGCTGCCTTAGCTTATTCAACTCTGCTTGATATGATGGGTTTCCCTTAGCTTGTTGTTAACCGTCCAATCATGATCCTTACAAAACAAAAGTTTATTATTTCCTTCAACATTATATGATGAACTATAGTGATCCGAACATTGTTTATTTTTGCCTCTTTTGTAAGATTCATCGCTTATTCCAAATCCTTCAAGCTTATTAGTTTGAGGAATGGCATCTTTGATTTTGTGTACCTTATTTGATTGGCAATGGTCGTTTTTTTCATTGATAATACTCGCAGTTACTTCAAATTCTTCTTTTGAATTTTCTTTTCAATTGAAAGACAAAGAAATGACTCCCTCAAAAGCCTTTTGTTCCTCCTCGAGGAATTTTCTCAGCTCCTTTATTGGATTTATTACTCTCCTCGTCGATGATAAATGATGGCTATTTCCATGGCAATCGTTATATATTTCCGATCTTTTCAAGGCTTGTTCAGAGCAAGCCAAGGCACATAACTCTAATTCTTCTCTTTCTTTGTATATTTCATAGAGCTTACTCTCAAAAAAATCAAAGTTGGCTCTCTGGGGCCTCTAAGCTAGCCAATAAGGCTTGCGATGCTGCTTGATTTAGTGTAATGTTCTCCTTGTAAACAATAACCCTAAAATCATAAAAATTTAATGATTAATACCAAAATTCTTAGATGACTTACATAATATATGAGTTTTTTTGTTGATGTCTGCTATATAGTACTGATATGTTTTTAGCAAAAATTAAAATAAAATGATTTATTGATTTTTTTTAAGATAAATTATGAATTTAAATACTATTTTGATCATATTATTGCCCGCAAAAACATGCATGTAAAAAAAATTCATATAATCATAATTGATCTTCCTAGGTTACTCTTTATCTTACTTAAAATAAGACATCTTCGAACCAAACAAACTATAATTTATTGACAATATTGTTATAAAAAATAAAATGTTTTCTATATATAATTGAACTAAATAACCCATAGTGTTATTGAGAATCATTATCGATGATCATAAAAATATGTCAACATATGTTTAGTTTAACTTACTGATGCGTGACATCTCTGATCATCTTTTCCAAGAGGGATCGGTAGGAGGTCTGAGTTTCCGATAGATGTCGAAACTTCTCCACTCTTCTTCTCATAGTTCTTAACTCTACTTCCAACTCCAGAAGTATTGTTTGCTCGATGTCATTTTGCTGCCTTAGCTTATTCAACTCTCCAACCAGCCTACTGGTCTCTTGCTGTTGTTTTCTTGCCTCTTTCCTCGGCCTCAATGAGTCTCTTGTTGATGAAATTGTGAGACAAGGACTATTTTTCGGACCATCTAAAGCAGATTGATTGTTTTCTTTTACGATACTTGATCTAAATCTTTGAAGTTCAATGTTAGTAACATCTTCTTGCTTTTGAAATGATTCCATTGATGCTGCGAGGTAATCAATGAGTGAGTATAAGCCAAGAAAAAAAACACTGAAAGCAATATTACAGGAGTCAGCTGCTTCCCCTAACCGGAGAAAGGAGGTTTGTGTCTCAATGGTCTATTAAGATCAATAGCCTTTAGCACCACTTTTTCAGAACTATTTTGTGAAGAGACGATTGCTGTTGGAGCTAATCCTAGCTTTTTTTTGGAATTCAAGAATTTCTGAGGAAAAACATGCAGACAAAAATTCTGCAACCATTCTAGTCCCGCGCCTCCATCTTGGAAAAAAAAGGAGAAAGCTCTACTCCTACAATACATTAAGATAAATTTCCATCAAATCTTAAAAAACAAGTTCCCATAGGACCTAAGTAGTGGAAACATTAGAAGAAACATATAAAACTAACCTGAAATTTGAGTTTCTAGAGGCAAATATGGATAGAAATTGATTCACTGAAATGCCCAGTTGAAGATCCCACCATGGAATCAGGAAATCCAGCTTGTTCGTCTTCTTTTTGCACACTTGCCATTGTAATATCCTCAAATTACTTGGAACTGTTTTACCTCCTCCTTTAAATTACAATCAGATGAAATTGATTCATCAATATTAATCCAATGGGAGTAAAGTTAAAGACATGGAGCAGCTGTTTAGTTCAAACAGTAAATTTTTTAAGGAAATCAGCTGTTCGATTTGACAATATCTTTAAATAACATTTTTTTTGGAAAAAAAAAACATTTCTTAAACAACTTTTAATACCACCTTAGTGAAATTTAGAAATCAGCTGAATTGAATTAGTTATAATTGCATACAATCGTAATTTTTGTCATATAAATAATAACATTGCACTAAACACACAAAATAAATGATAATTGTACGTGAAACAGGAAACCAGTGATCGATATCCCAAGCAAGAGGAGAAGATGAGTCAGCATGCGGGTAGACTACATTTCCAAAACAATCTACTCGAAACAAAGCAGGGTCAAATCCAGCATTCCTGAAAAGCAGAACACTAATCACCATGGCTTCAAATATCAAATTAGTTACGAAGAACATTGCGGTACAAATCAAACTCTGTCAGTGAGTCTTACCCAAGATGATCAAGCTGCAACCAGAGAAAATCAGCATAATTTCTCAGATTTGCAGAAGGGCGAACTTCTTGATCAATAACGGGGAACATCCGGTTCAGTTCTTTGACTTTTAAAGCCTGTAAAATGAAAATGGTTAATCCTTTTGCAAAGAATTTAGAACGAAAGTCAAATGATAACCTTTTGAGACTGCAAGGCATGTGGAATGAAGGAAGAAAGACGCCCATTTGCGAAAGATCCGTTGGTTACTGAGACTGATGAACAAAGCCGGGCATAGGCCTTGGGGAATCCCCGAGCTTCGTTTATGGCCATCTCTTCCTTTGAGAAAACTGGAAGCTCTGCACTCATGGCGTTCTCTAAAGTGGAAATCAAGCTGGATCAATCGGAATGGAGAAGAAGAGCTGTTTGGTGGAACTTTTTTTCTCCCCAGGCTGTGAGCTCCAAGAACGAAGGAGAAAGCTGCGGACAGCTGAGGCAACGGCCCACTAGGATCATAACGGCTACCTTCATTTCAAATCAAAATGTCATTCTGGACGCGAGAGAACGACCAGAGGAGATGGCAATATATATTTTATTTGTTAACTATAATTTAATATAAATAAAAAATATATAACAATATTTAAAAAAAAATAACTACTATCAGATGAGGGTTTAAAGATTTATTCTCTAGAATTTATCTCTATATTATCATTTTATATGATTGGATCAGTATCACTTTAGTATAAACCTACCAAATAAAAATTATATGCATCAAATTTTATAAAGGTTTTTCAATAATCTGTCAAAATTGTCCAATAATTTTTTTCAAAACTTAAAAACTTGCAAATTTAATGGAAAAATTAGTGGGCACTGGGCAATGATAATTAGCACGGGAGGCTGGGTAACTATAGTTGACGATAACAATCGAGCAATGCACTATAACAAAATAACGGATTTGTATCCAAACTAGATTTAGAAATAAGTTTGACGCTAAATTAGCATCCGATTTGCGTCAATTTAGTGTCGCCCGTAGTTTTAAAATTATAAGCGCCGGCATGCACTAGATGCGTCGAATGGGCGATGCTAATTCATTGAAATAGCATTTGATTATGTTTAAGCCCTAAAATATGATTTTGGCCAGCGAAGCCTCACTTCTCTCCTTCAGCGCTCGTGGTTTCCAATGTTTCTGGCTCATTTCCACCGCCCTAACTTCATCCATGGCGAGAAGATCTAATACACACCTCCGAGTTTAGATTTTACATAAGTTTTATTTTATTTTATTTTATTTTTTTTGGTAGATTTTGGACGCACAGGTGTTAGATCCAAAAGCACATAGGCTTCTTTCAAATTTTTTTAATATTTCTTAATTATATTTGCAGTGCATAGGGATTAGATGGTTATACCTAATATTTGAGTTCTATGAGCTTAAATATAAAAAGTTTAGGTGTGAGATATGTAAAGACTTAAGAATATTGGGCTATGTATGTAAATGCACCCAAAAAATTTGAGTGATATATGCCAAAATATAAAAGTTCAGGTGTGAGAATGAAAATACATAAGAATTTTGTGCTATGTTTGTAAGTGCACCAATGAAATCTGATGGGTTGAGTGCAATATGCCCAAATATAAATGTTTGTGTGAGAATGTAAATGCATGATATATGCCATCAAATAATGATGATTTTCTTGATGGTTTTGAAAACAACGAGAAACCATGATAATTTTTCCATTTAGCTCAAGCTAATGATAAACAAAAAGAGAAGATGAGAACATGAAACCTACAAAATCAACCATTTTATTGAGGTTTATCACACTTGCAATAGTTCTTTTATAGCTTAGCTTATTGATTGATCCATATTAAAAACATTAGCGTAAATGTTCAAATTATGATCGGTCGCTTTTTCATGAAAATAATTTAATTTAATATGTATACATAATTTTAATTTTGTAAATATTATTTTAATTTTGAAACATGAGACTAGATAGATCTCAATAATTAATAGTTTAAGTAATCGAGCACAACATTACAAGCGATGCACCGTCTTGAAAGACAAGTGTATTACTTAACAGATGATTTGTTTATATAAACTAAAGAATTTATGACATTCATTTAGTCTACGAATTTTGTGACCGATGATTCCCGTACCTAATATAATGATTAGATAGAATTTATATTATCTGGATTTCTAATTCCCTATGGAGGCAAGCCCCGATAGTTAATTACATCTCGAGCGACCAAAGTCGCTTAAGAAAACTCTCGATTAAGATCAGGTGTTTTGTCTTCAAGACTTCAAAGTTAATTTTTCATGGTTGGTCATAAGAAAAATCAAGTGGGAATGACTCAAATAGGAACATTTATTTTGGAGACCAAAGGAGCCAAAAGTAGGAGGTGTCGAAGATACTGAGAAGATCTTAGTGACATCTCAAACTATCTTACAATTTGACTTTACATTTTAGAAGTGTTGTTTTTTATTCCTCCCATTTTACTAAAATTTAGGACTTACATATATACGTTGTACAACGGTGCAAACAGCCTAGAAAGATAGGAAAATTTATGGCATACCAAATGAACAATCTCAGAATCCTAAAATAGTTAGGGCTTATATAGCATGACACACAATCATACGAATGCCTAAAAGATAGCATGAGGTTTTACGTTCTACTAGACAAACAACCTCAAAGTCCTAAGAGTTTATGTCATTTAAGATTAGGGAAAGTCCAACTAAGGATCGTCCTTTGCTTCATGTTGAGGTTCTTTCGTCGTCTGAAGCCCTCCGTTGTTTGCATCATCTCCTCGCTTTCTGGGAAGTTCGCCTTGAGCACCTTACTGTGATGGTTTTGGGTTTTAAAAGGTGTATTTAAATTGGTGATTATTGGTTATTGTTGAGTCACAGGATTTGTAATAGGGTTCCTCCTAAACATGTGACATATTGTTTTCTGCCCTTGAGGTCTTTTACATGGATTTTAAATCACAGAATAGTAATCTCATAGGTAAAAATAAAATGTGTAAGGATAATTTCTTTATTGCACCTGCCAAAATTATAAAATTGAATAAGGATAATTTCACATCATTTTCAAAACACATTATTAAATGTAAAACTGTAAAAGCAAGTAGATATCTCGATTAATTAAAATCCTATCAAATTAATGAAAGTAAATTTAACCTAATCAATTAATTTTACCAGAACTAAAAATCACACAATCAAATATGCTAAAAATAGATAAAAGGATACCTGAAAATATAAAAAACAATATATATATATATA